TGTGTGTATGCATGTATGTATGTATGTATGTATGTATGTGTGTATGTATGCCAGTGTGCTCAGGCTCGGAGCCATCTGGCGCGTCCTCAGGTTGTGGATAGAGGAACGGCCGTCCCCGCGGTTAGCTGCGAATATATCGAATAAGCAGCCGCGAACAATCGAGCCAAAAACGCAGCTATAGGACAAGAGGGCTGCCAACCCGAATGGACTGCTGCAAAAGAAAAATCGGCAAAAACTTTGAAAATAGAATGATCTGGACCCGAGATGGGCGTGCGAAGGACCCCCGACTTTGCACAACAAGCCCACACCTCGGTGTAAGGCAGGAAAAAGGACTACGGACGCATCAAAATGCACATCGCTTCCCACAACGTCAGGACATTATCGACAGACTCTCTCCTGGACGTATATCTACAACAACTGGAAAAGATCAAAGCCGACATTATCGGTGTATGCGAAACTAGGAGAGCACGCGCTGTCTCAGCGAGGTGGACAAGCGGTGAAGAAATTCTGCTGGGAGAAGGAGCCAACAATGTGCCCAGAACAGGTGGAGTCGGTTTCATCATAAAAGCGAAAATGGTCCCGTACATTATTTCTTGTGATATCATATCCCCACGTGTCGCTGTTCTGAAGGTCAAACTACAAAAGTTGGGAAATCGAACGCTCAAAATGGTGCAAGTATATGCGCCCACTATCACGGCGGAGGACGACGAAATCGAACGTTTCTACGAAGAAATAGAGACGGCATTGAAGCTTAAATCGACATACACTATTGTTCAAGGCGATTTCAACGCAGTTGTCGGCTCCCGATTGGACGATACGGAATACCTCATAGGAAGGTACGGTGCGGGAGTAAGAAACGACAGAGGAAACCGTTTGATCGAATTTGCAGAACAACATCAATTCTCAATAATGAACACTTTCTTCGAGAAGAAAGCGAAGCGTCTCTGGACATGGAGAAGCTCAGACACGAGAACTCTGAGGCAAATTGATTATGTGCTGACCGATACGCCAAGATTGTTTGCTGACGTCTCTGTTATAGGGGAAAATGTGATAACGACTGGCTCCGATCATCGGCTTTTGCGTTCGGTGATCCTCTTCGATGCCAAGAAAGAACGTCGAGTTCTGCATTCGCAAAGAACACTCGTACGACAAACTTTCAATGCCGATATGTATGCTGCGATGATAGAGTCGTCAGATCTACACATGAATACCGGAAGCAATATCGATGCCGACTATGAAGATCTAGTGGGAAAAATAACTCAGGCCGTGAAAGCATCGAGCATAGCAATAGAGCCCGCAAGGCGACGACGTATATCGACAGAAACACTGCAGATGATGAAGAGGAGAGCACGCATGAAGGCTGAAGGACGAGTGCAAAATGAGGAATACCGGACACTCTGTGAAGCGATAAGGGAAAGAATCAAGTGCGACTATGAAGGCTACAGACAAATGAAACTTCGCGAAGCAGCTGAGAAAAGGGCTAGCCTGAAAGCTGTAGAAAGGGATATCCGTCTAAGGCAACATATACCCTATGCTCTCAAGGACGATACAGGTGTTAGAACAACCAACCGCCCACGAATGAACGAGATATGTACAAAGTTCTACAACGATTTGTACTCCTCAAAGGTGGTTGTTGCAAGAACCTACCGAAACGTTGCAGAAGAACCGATCCCAGAAGTAATGTGGGAAGAAGTGGAGAACGCAGTGAAACAAATAAAGGCTGGGAAAAGCCCTGGCTGCGACAACATTCGTCCCGAACACCTAAAAGCAGGCGGACTACATCTATTTAAAGCGCTGGCAGAACGTTTCAGCAGATACTGCCATGAAAAAAGGATACCTGCAGCGTGGAAAAAATCAAGGACGATACTACTGATGAAAAAAGGCGATCCTGAGAGCTTAACTAACTACAGACCCATCACGTTGCTTTCTCAAATCTATAAGACCTTCACAAGGATAATCCTAAATCGCGTAGTCAAAGACCTGGACATAGTCATGAGCCGGGAACAAGCCGGTTTTCGAAGCGGTTACTCCACACTCGATCATCTACACGTAGTACGCCAGCTCATCGAAAAATGTGAAGAGTAAGTGTGTTAGTACTTCTGTGCCTTACGAGGTTGTCAGGTGGAACTTTTATTCAGTGGCCTAACGTTTCGACGGAATCGTCGTCTTCAGAGGCCTGAACGTGTTTCAAGTTTTAGACTTACGCTCTACACCACCAAGCGCCTCATCAACTCTAGCGGTTTCGACATCGTGTCAGAAACCCCTCGAGAAGATCAGAGCAGCACGAAAAATAAACTCACCGATAGTTCCACCGTTTGAGCGGGTTAGACCGCTACCATACGAGAGCGTTAGTAAGTTAAAAGTGATGAATACTCGATTGTCTCCTTTTACCAAAATATTAGGAGACGCACGTAACGCCCGATCATTCTACAGCTCGCAGTGCGGTATAAACGGCAGAAGGTCATTTGTTATTGAAGGACACTCATCGCGGCTGTTCATTCTTGGATTTCTAGTGAATATCCAGAATGCTTCCAACGCTTCCTCGCCGAAATTTCTGTCTCATGAGCCAGCAGGTTGCACTTTATTTCAAAATCATATCATCATGCTCCTCAACCTTATGCCTTCCAAGAGGTGTTGTCCGAGTACCGCGTCTCATGCTAGCTAGATGTTCCTTAATACGAATTGCTAGAACCCTTCCCGTTTCCCCAATATATGTGTGGTTACATGCCCGGCATTGAATTTCATAAATCACTCCCATTTGCGCACAATCGCCAATTTTCCCGTACGGGCAAATAACGCAACATTCTGAGATGCAGTGCTTATCGTATTGCCGTTTGATGTTCTGGTTAGGAATATTTACCAATTGAACAACATCCTGCAACTGTGCTCTTCCAATACTCCGTTGGACTGCAGCACTCACTTCATCAGATATGAACGGGACACACAAAGGCAACCAACCGTCTTTCGGGGTTTCTCGTGTCAGCTTAATGTACTTGACTGTTCATTCATTAAACGAAAACACTCATCCATTTCGGATTGTGTTGATGTTATTATGAAACAGTCGTCTATATATCTACAGTACATCAAAGGAGCGCGTTCTAGCACTGGTTCTTCTATTCTACCCATGAAGCAAACAGCCAGAACCGGTGCAAGACGTTGACCCATGGCAGCCCTCTGATTTGCGAATAGTATGTACCTGCCCATTTGAAGATGTTACAGTTCAAGCACTCCTTGATTAGAGTCATGATGTGCGCTTTCTCCAGTCCAAAAGTTCGTATACGAGTTATGTGCCTATCCAGCATTTCGGATAATGCCTGCAAGGCTTGTTCGTTTTGGACATTAAAGCGATGCAACATCAAATGACTCTAATACAGCACCGCCTTGCAAGTTGCAGTTACGGAGCTGTTCAAGGAATTTGCTTGTGTTGGGCAGGTGAGAGGGAACCATGGTTAGCAGCTGGCTGACAATGATGTTAAGAAACCATGAAATACGGTCAGTTGGTCCCCCCACGCCACTAATTATAGGCCGGATCTTATATGTATCCACAGGCGCTGACAGCATGTTGCTATGAGGGGCGAGTTTGTGGGTCTTCCGGCCTATAATTAGTGGCGTGGGGGACCAACTGATCGTATTTCATAGTTTCTTAACATCATTGTCATCATTGTATTAGAGTCATTTGATGTTGCATCGCTTTACACTAATGTCCAAAACGAACAAGCCTTGCAGGCATTATCCGAAATGCTGGATAGGCACATAACTCGTATACGAACTTTTGGACTGGAGAAAGCGCACATCATGACTCTAATCAAGGAATGCTTGAACTGTAACATCTTCAAATGGGCAGGTACATACTATTCCAAATCAGAGGGCTTGCCATGGGTCAACGTCTTGCACCGGTTCTTGCTGTTTGCTTCATGGGTAGAATAGAAGAACCAGTGCTAGAACGCTTGCCTTTGATGTACTGTAGATATATTGACGACTGTTTCATAATAACATCAACACAATCCGAAATGGATGAGTGTTTCCGCTTAATGAATGAGCAGTCACAGTACATCAAGCTGACACGAGAAACACCAAAGACGGTTGGTTGCCCTATTTGAACACGCAGGTCAAGGTATCCAATGGCATTGCGCGCGTAAAATGGTACCGTAAAAGCAGTTCGAAAAACATTATGATTCACGCTACATCGGCACATCCAATAGCCGTTAAACGCGCTGTTGTTGGTAACATGTTTAGAACGGCAACAGGGTTGTGCACAGGTGATGTTGAACGTGAAGAATCGCGACAACTAGCTACAAAAATAGCTATCATGAACGGCTATACGGCACCGCAACATCGAAGACGACGACAGCATTCCAATCAGCGAGAGGTGCCACGTCGAAATAGGTTACCTTTGTGTGTCCCGTTCATATCTGATGAAGTGAGTGCTGCAATCCAACGGAGTATTGGAAGAGCACAGTTGCAGGAACGATGTTCAGTTGGTGAATATTCCTAACGAGAACATCAAACGGCAACTGGTTCGAAACAGACTCTATGATAAGCAGTGCATCTCAGAATGTTGCGTTATTTGCCCGTACGGGAAAATTGGCGATTGTGCGCAAATGGGAGTGATTTATGAAATTCAATGCCGGGCATGTAACCACACATATATTGGGGAAACAGGAAGGGTTCTAGCAATTCGTATCAAGGAACATCTAGCTAGCATGAGACGTGGTGATCGGAGAACACCTCTTGGAAGGCATAAGCTTGAGGAGCATGATGATATAGATTTTGAAATAAGTGCAACCTGCTGGCTCATGAGACAGAAATCGGCGAGGAAAGCGTTGGAAGCATTCTGGATATATACCACAAATCCTAAATTGAACAACCGTGATGTGTGTCAATAACA